CTTTCACTAGTTCAATAAACCTGTTATCACTGGCAATATCTGCCAGGTGACAGATTGGATCAATTGAGATGTATCCACCTTGGAGCCACGTATGCTACTAGTACTAGCCATGATAACCAACACACGTTTCTTCAATTATTAACAGAAAATAATGAGATGAAAAGTGATATCTATAATTATACTGCAGGTTTCGTAAAGCTGCGAAAATGTACTGTTTATTTTTTCCTCTACACTCAACCCCTGTAGGAATCAATCAGTGTACATTATATTAAGGCATGATCATGCATGCATCAAACATAGGTGCATGTCATGTGACGCGTTTTGACCAATCATGATGCTTAAAATACTAAAGCCATTTTATAATGTTCATTATCTAATCAGACGCAGAGGCATGTTTCTAAAAAACAGAGCCACAACGCTATTATGTACGCGGTTGAAGTTGCTGATTTTCATATAATTGCATTCTGTATTGTGTGCATCCGGTAGGGTTATTAAGTTTGTGTATATTTCTAGAAACATTCCTCTACTGCTGATTAAGTGATGACTACCGTTTAAACGACCTCTTTTTTAAAGCCGGCCTGCAGTCTTTTTGGGTGTCTGTTTGGGTGCAGTCTGGGGTGAATTTGCAGACATTCCCTGCAAGATGTCCGGTCAACGTTCGACGTTATCTCTTCTCCGCATCGTTCTATTCGTGTTCATATCGGTGGTGATTGTATTCATAGAGATATCTCCGAAGTGGCTGCCACATCGAAACTTTAAACATGATCACCCCACTTACAAGGTAAGTCACTATTACATTATCTAACGTTCTTGCCGCCGGCTGAAGACAAAACATGGAGGATATGTCCGTCGGACATTATTACTTGACGTGACTATCACATCCATGTATATCAGTGGCGGATCCAAGGGAAGGGGGCCGAAACGGCCGCGGCCCCCCCCCCCTCCCCTAGCTATTGGCGGCGCCAACAAAAAAAAGAGAAGGAAAAAAAGAGGAAGAAAAAAAAAGAAAGAAAGAAAGAGAGAGAGAGAGAGAGAGAAAGAGAAAGGAGAGAGAAGCCGGGTAAGAAAGGAAGGACAGTAACGACGAAAACGGGAAAAAGTTGAGGGGGTTGGGGGGGGGGGGGGGGTATGTGCGTGTGAAAGGAGGGATTACTGACCATATTCTAATTTTTAGGTTGTGCAAAACTGAGTCGGAATTCAGCTTATTTTCAAAAAAATTATAAGCATGCTTGTTTATTTTAAGCCGTAGGGCCTAAAAAGGTTAGTGTAAAAACACTTCTGAAAAGGCCGCGCCCGGCCCCTCTAAAGAGCGGCAGTATGGTAATCAGGATTTTTTCGGGTCGTTCCAGAAGTCTTGGGACCCTTTATTGAAGAGTGGGCCGGCCATATACGTAAGTGGCAGTGACGGATGAGGGAATAATGAGGAAGGGGTGCACATAAGTGTAAACTGCAAGCGTATTGGGGATGATCATTTTATCATTTTAGGTTGAGCAATCTATATTTATTTTAAAAGGGTTCATGTAAAAGCACTCATGATATATTTTTGTTATTCATTGGATAACAAATTTCAAAGTTAAAATGGCGTGGCGTGCCTGCTTGTAGTTACCGGTACGGTGCTTCTAATATGACCTTGACATGTCTTTTTTGAAAAAACTACCCTTGAAAACCCTTAAATGGCCTTGGCACACGGTAATGGAATGTACATGTATTAAAGGGTACTTTCCTGCGAGATTTTGCGCTGACGTCATCAAATTTTGCAACTCAGTTTTGCAAATTTTGTTTTCTATTTCGTATTCTTGGTTTCCTTTATTGTAAAGGCTATATTTGTTTCCACTCCACTATACCACACAGAGCTACGTGCACTTCCACTATTCGTTACAAACACATACACACAAGCATGCTCGCGTGCACATGCACACACACACACACACACACACACACACACAATATATATATATATATATATATATATATATATACACTTGCACAACATACTCACCAACTCATACACAAAGATCGTTTTTCATTTTAAGTTTTACCTGAAGATTTTTTTTTGTTTTCTTTTGAGGCCGCTATCCTTGTCAAGCTTTGCTCATGATTGCGGTCTCCTGCACTTTTCCAACAGAATTGTTCGGATAATACTTTAAATTTATGATAATATGTTATGGAAATTTAAGTTTCGTTATTATATATACATATATTATGTAAAAAAAACATTTTGACTTAAGGAAATCATTGTTTGTAAATGTTGTATTTGACCTTACATTTATATGTTCTTTGTTATTCAGTTAAATTATATTTGGAAAAAATGCAGAAATAAAATCAAAATGCACTTTATAGAAACGTCCGTTTTCGAGAATGTCCCAAATTGTACCCTTGATCTGGTCATTTTACAAGTGTGTGTGTGTGTGTCTGTAACGTGTGTTTTACAAACGTGAATCAGTCATATATGTGATTATTTACGTCTGGGGACCATCAAAAAGACGTGACTCGACCAGTCTTGAACCAGGGTCCACTGAGTCAGTATGTAGGCAGAGAGCCGATGACCATACCAATGGCATTACCGCTTGACCAACTCACATCTCCCCAAGACAGTTAATTATAACGTTTTATTTTGTCTGTAGAAAATGGTGTTCATCAAGCCAAATGAAACCAGTACTTTCCTGAGAGATTTTGCGCTGACGTCAACAAATTTTACCCAACTTAACAGAAAGTTGTCCCGTGATTGGATACATGTGTATGTCAAGTTTCATTGAAGTAGGTATAAGGATTGTTATTTTAGAGCAAATTGAAGTTATTTCGCAATTTTCTTGGAAATTGCGAATTTGGAGGGCAATTTTCTCAAATTTGGTCAGCGTTAGGGTATATAATTTGTACTAGGCTGGACAGGACATATCTTCAAGTATCTAAATCCTTCGAATACACTAGTATTCTGACCTCTAATATCCTTAATATTCAATTCAATTCAAATCAAAGTTAATTCAACACTCTTCAGAAAACCATTTAAAATATAGAGAATGGAATGATAAAAAAAGAAGAAGATATAGTGACTAAAAACTACAATGGCAATTGGGGGATAGGCAGAAAGGAGGGATTTCTTATATGAAAGCCTGACCCCTCAACACACAAATACAGGGGGAAAAAGAAGGAAAAAAGGAACAGAATCTCAGGTACAATCAGAGTAAAAAAAAATAACTACAAAAGTTTCAAAGTTGCCCTTGATATTCTACCGTTTATTATACTTGTTTAAGAGAAATTGCTTATAGTTTTGCATTTCATAATATCCAGAGATATAGTATTCCATATTACTGGATGAATGAAATTTTCATACATGTCCGTCGTTTTTATTTTTTGGGAGGTGACAATTTAGGGAATTTCTAGTATAACAATAATGCACATCACAATTCTTAAATATTAAAACATGTTGATAAAAAAGTTGGCAGATGACCATTAAAACATTAAAACTGTAATATAAAAATTATGCATATCGATCACGTTAAAAACTCCAAGTTTACAAAATAAAGGATTACAGTGAGCATAATATTGAGAATGAGTTAAAATGCGTTTTGCTTTCTTTTGAAGCTTAAGTAACCTTGCCATATCTTTTGCATTACAATTTGCCCATGCGAACATAGAGGGATTTAAATACGGTGATATTAAAGTATAATACAATATTTTAAAAATATTTAAGGGATAAAAGTAAACATATAAAATACCAATATTTCTTGCTGTTCTATTTCACATCACATATATTTAACATGCCACTTCGATTCATGATTAATTACAATACCTAAAAACTTCAGATTATCTACATGTTCAAAATTATGGACCTTTACTCGTAAATGAACGTTGTTAAAATCAATAATTTTATTTGTATAAACCATATATTTCACTTTATCGCAATTTAAAACCAACATATTATATAAGAACCATTTAAAAAGTTTCAAAATGTCTTGCTTAAAAACATCTTGTAAAACCTGGACATTAGAATGAGATATATAAAAAAAAAACACTTGTGTCATCAGCAAATCAGATAAACTTAAATTTATCAAAAATACTGCACATGTCATTAACATAAATAATAAATAAAAGAGGTCCAAGGATGGATTCTTGAGACACTCCACATCTAAGTATATCGGTATTAGACTTAATTTTATTAACATTTTTACACATTTGGTTCTATTTTCCAAATAAATTTCATACCATTTTAAAGTTACTCCACGAATACCATAATGATATAATTTTACAAATATAATAGTGTGGTCTAATGTATCGAATGCTTTACTTAAATCTAAAAAAGGCCCATGAAGATATGATTATATTCAAAAATGTTCAAAACATTATAAATAAAATGCATAATTGGCATTCAGTGATAATGTTGCACTTATTTAAAAACATAAAAAGGCGATTATAAACTGCTCTTTCATTTTTTTTGGAGAAAACAGTAAGTAGACCTTTAGATTAAAAACAGGAATAACCTTTGCCAGTTTTAATCGATCTGGTACTATACCTCTAGACAAAGAAATATTAAAGATTGCACTTAAAGAACATCATGAACAACCTTTTTCAATAATTGAAAGAAAATATTATGATCCAATGACCATAAAATATATAAGAAATACATTGTAAATACACTGGAGTGGGTATATAACTTAGTACTAACAAAACTGACAGGGTATGTATAAAACGGTTAAGAAACTTTACATTCATTATGCATTTTATAGAAACGTCCGTTTTCGAGAATGTCCCAAATTGAACCCTTGATCTGGTCATTTTTACAAGAGTGTGTATGTGTGTGTGTCTGTAACGTGTGTTTTTACAAACGTGCACTCAGTCATATATATGATTATTTGAGTCTGTGCACTATCCGAAAGACGTGACTCGACCAATCTCGAACCATGGTCCACTGATTCAGTATGTATACAGAGAGCTGATAAGCATAACAATGGCATTACCACTAGACCAACTCACATCTCCCCAAGACAGTTAATTATAACGTTTTACTTTGTCTGTAGAAAATGGTGTTCATCAAGCCAAATAAAACCAGGTTAAACTGGTCATCAAGAGACCCGTACACGTGTTTGTCACAAAACATTAGCAAAAACCTTGCGCCGACGAGCAATGTCTTCTCAACGGCAGAGGTCATCAACGCCAAGGCATCGTATAAGGTCAACGACACTCTACAGATCCGCATTACAGCAAGGGATGTAAACAACGTCATCAAGACTTGCGGAGGTGACTACTTCCGGGTCAAACTATACACTGCAGAAACACAGTCATCCTGGAGCATTGACGTCACAAATGACCTAGGAAATGGTTCCTACATTGCTGATGTGACGTTACGATGGCCTGGGAAGGTTGCAGTGATTGTGACGTTGGTTCATTCTAGCGAGGCTTTGAGGGTTCTGCGAAGGATTCGAGACCTGGAGCCTGGTAGGACGGTCTTCAAGGGGCGCTACCTGAGAACTCTTGATTCAGGGGTTGAGACCTCTGAAGATGTAATGTGCCTACCAAAGGTCATCCGTAATGTAAGTATTTCATCTCTCTCTCTCTCTCTCTTTCGACATTATAGCCTTTGTTGTGAGATGTACAACAAAGAGAATGGAACAGAAGTGCACACAATTTTGACAAGTATTTTAGATATAATTCTTGCGTATTATTTTGTTTATTTTCCTCGTCGTACAGCCCTCGACGAAGGCTATGATACACAAAGCTTGGCTTCAGTAACAGCGGTGAATGTATCTACATCCTATAGTGTTTTAGTCTTTCATTTATATGTCTTCCACAACGTAAAGAAGTCCCGTCATGTTCAACAGTAAGATTTTACGATTATATTTTTATCTACACTTACATTTTTATGTATCGGCCATCTATATTCCCTTTTTGTATAAATAACTGCAAGGGTTACAAAAGCTGTTTCCAGAATGTATCGATCGTGTAACTGCAAGGGTAACAAAAGCTGTTTCTAGAATGTATCGTGTAAATAACCGCAAGGGTGACAAAAGCTGTTTCTAGAATGTATCGTGTAAATACCTCCAAGGGTAACAAAAGCTGTTTCTGGAATGTATCGTGTAAATACCTGCAAGCGTAACAAAAGCTGTTTCTAGAATGTATCGTGTGAATACCTGCAAGGGTAACAAAAGCTGTTTCTAGAATGTATCGTGTAAATACCTGCAAGGGTTACAAAAGCTGTTTCTGGAATGTATCGTGTAAGACTCGCGACCTTTAGTGCAAAACTATTGGGGCCCTTAATAGGGGAGGGGAGAGACCTTGAAAGAGGCTTCGTAAAATATTCCCACAGTCAGTTCGTATTCATTACTGTCTTGAACCTTTGCTCTTCTGTACGGTATATTGTGTATCAATTGTTGGTGTGCGCGTGAGAGTGTGTATGCATGTATGCGGATTAAACATAAACGTTGCAATTTGTTTCGTTTTCCTTAATGCTGACAGCATTCTCTTTGTAACTTCACGGATGAAAGATTAGGCTATCCATGGTTCTGTGTAGCGCCCTCTAAAGAGACTTTATCGTGTGCTGACTGGAAGCTGTACGTAAATGATCCCAAATTATCTGAGAAGTACACGATTAGGGCCGTCAGCAAGGAAGAATTAAACATATTCAAGATGTAAGTTATGCTTTTATTATGTCATCCTATTCGCAAAGAGACTGAGAAGGAAAAATTTGAGCCTAATACCCTTAATGCTCGGTTAATTAATAGTATAGCATGACAGAATAACTTATAGACAATGGAAGTCGCATTTGATTAGTCACTCATTTCATTGAGCTTCTTTCTCCATCATGACATTCATTCATTTTCCAGATGAATCAATTCAATTTCATTTAATTCAGTTTAAAAAAAACATTAAATATAACAATCAGATATACTAAACAAAATAAACATTGAAAACATATTGGAAAAAGAAATAAAAATAAGCTGAATAGGCTTCCATCTGAAAGGAAACATAATCCTTATATAAAAATGGACCCGTTTTGTATAATAAAAAGTATGACAATTGCCGTGAGGAGTTAATTGTCAGGGGGTAGTTGCCCTGGAGTTTGATGTTCAGGGATGAATTGTCTTTATTCTCATTCCAGATAACTCAGATTTTCTCTATTTTTTTTTTTTTGGGGGGGGGGGGGAGGGTATAGGGCTATTCCCTTCTGAACATTAACCCCCCCCCCCCACCGGGGGACTCCTAAGAGCAATTGTATACAATTCAAAAAGTCCCTTACGTGGAAGGGGGATCCCAAACCAATTTACAGCCCCCCCCCCTCTTCCTATACTCTCGATCGTCACTCCCTCGTAGAGACCTCGTCTCCAGCGATAATCTCCTTGTAATTATCCGGGGGGGGGGGGGCTAATTGTCCTGGGAGTAAATGTCCTGGGGTAATTGTATTTCAGGGAATTGCCCTTACTAGGCCTTGCTAATATAAAATCATCAGTGATGGGCTCTAGCCTCGGTCATGAAACGAAACCTATTGTAAACAAGCTGGCTTTGCCATGACACGGTGATTTTACGATGTTTTATTTTCAATTATAAACACATGATATATATTCTTGGACGCGTGATCATCACATCATAACAAAATATATATTTTTGTTATTTGCAGACATAGGTTGCCTATCAAACATCCCCCTCCTCCCCTCAACGTAGTTGGGGACTTTAACAGTGAGTAGAATGATCTTTCATTTTGAGAGAGTAATTTTGCAATAATTTGAAACAAGTTCCTGCATAAAAAAAAACCTAGGGAAAACGTGTAGTAAAATAAATCAGTAGTAAGTATAATAGTCTGTAAGTACAGAAGATAGAATGAACATTGGAATAGTTTCGGGGTTTGAGGAGGTCCTGGGGAAGGCTCGAGAGTAATACGGGATATCTTTACGGGATATTATTACATTATATACGTGTATAGTAGTATAGAGTTGATGAAAAATTCTTGATAGCTGGACAAAAAGAAGCTTAACCAGTTTTGGAAGAGTCACGGCACTGGAAAGTCTAGCACTTATCCCAGTTACTCACTTGATCATGATTGATTCCATCCCTCCAAACCTTTTGAAGGTGATAGAAGGCATTATATTAAAATTTATTTGGAGTGGGAAAACAGAAAAAATCAAAAGGATTTCTCTTATGGAAGACTACAGTAAAGGTGGTATAAAAATACTTGACATACAAAGGCAATTGTTCAGTTTCCGACTGAAATGGTTGGGTAGATTTTTCAAAGAGAGTAATGGGGCGTGGAAAACATTGTTTTCTTACTGGTTCAACTTATTGGGAGGCATCAATTTACTGTTGATCTGCTCTTATAATATAACCACACTTAATGATATTTTAGTTCAAAAGAAAATTCCGTCATTTTACGTAAAAATGTTAAAGGCATGGGAAATGATTAGATACTGCACTACAGTGAAAGATGTTTGTATATCTATAAATGAACCAGTGAAAGTTTCAGAACAGATTATATGGCACAACAAACATGTGGTGTATGATAATCAGTCGCTCTTTTATAAAGGCTGGTACGACAGTGGTCTAGTATTTTTAGGAGACCTTTTTGCGAGAGATGGCTTTCGGTCAACAGAATATATTAAATCGCAAATGCATTCCATACGAAAAATGCAATGCAATGTTTGACTATGCAAGACTGAAACGAGCGATACCACCTGTATGGGTCAATAGTTTAAAAGAAGAATTTATGCATGATTATACTAGACAAGAAAATGAAAACAAAGTTTCATATAATTTATGTTGGTTGCAAATAAGGTAAAACATGTTGCTGACATAAGTAGCAATCGTTTCTATAAACTCATTCCTTCGAGAGCTGTATTACCTAGCACATGTTGCCTTTATTGGGAAAAAAGGTATTGATAGATATCGTAGATATTGATTGTTCTACGGTATTCAAGCGTAATTCTTGCACAAATTAGAGAAAGCAAATTACGAGAGTTTAACTTGAAATTACTGTATAATCTATTGTCAGTAAAAAGTAATTTTTTCAAATGGTGAATATCCAATGACGATGTTTGCCCAAAATGTAATATTAAAGAGGATATGAATCACGCATTTATAGAATGCAAACTAGTTGAGCCCTTCATTAAACATCTGAAAGAAATATTAAGAGATACATACAAAGTAAAGATACTGACGTTCAATATCCAACACCTGCTCAAAATAGATTGTGAAAGTCATTGTACTTTATTCTTTACAATAGCATTTTGGACCATTTATAAATTGATTGTTAAACGAAATATAACTGGGATAGACAAGAGAAAAATTGCTTCTAAACAAAATGTCCATAGGAAAATTATAAAAAGATTGGAAAGTAAATCAAACATAAAGATGAACAGAAAGCTTTACAAAAAGAACTGTTAGGTGTTATTGAAGAAAAAAAAAGAGAGAGAAAAAAAAAGAGAGGAAAACAAAACTATCAGTATAATTTGTATGTTAATTATGATTCAATAGCTTTGCAAAGCAAAAGTTAATTTCAATTCTTTGTTATGACAATAATAATGTTTTTGTGATCATGTAAATTTGATTTGTAGGATTGTATCTTTGAATGTAACCATGTATATATAATCGATAAATCCTCTGATGAGGCAAAGAGAAGAAAAAAAAAGCATAGAGTTGTTGTTCATAATTGCACAAGTTCACAGTCCATTGTTATTTATTTTTTTACTTCTAAAACTCTACAGGATGGAAAAAGATCGTGTTTGCCTATCAAGATTCTCTACCTTCCTGCAGACCAGGACAACACTTACACAACCCTTCTCCTTCGGGCTTCTATAGCAAGAACATCTGGTTTTCAGATCAATGCAAACTCCGTCGATTTACCAAAACAGATGTCTTACAGTGCCTGCGGAACAGAGCAGTTCATATTTTTGGCGACTCCACTGCTAGACAATTCTACTCGGAGTTTGCCGATTACTACAAACCTGATATTGTGGCCTGGAACATATCAATATATTCACGTGGGGGTTTACTTAGGCCTTTATATGCTAGGGGTGCTAAGTTTAACATCTCAATAGATTTCAAATTCCACGGCTTTCCTAATCGTCCAACAGATTTTATAGGCAAGGAGACGATCACTTACATTGTCAATGAATTAGACGGTCTCAAAGTGGACTCAAGGTCAGTTATCATGATTTGCGTTGGAACACACTACACGACATATCCATTAGAGATGTACGAAAAGAGAATGAGAGATATCAAGGAGGCTGTTCAGAGACTTCACAAAAGAAGTCCTCAAACATTGGTAGTCTTCAAGAGCTCAAACACCCGAGAATATATGAACCGCCTTCATCAGTTGACCAACAGCGAGTGGTATATTGTGACGTTGGACCTAGCGTTGAGGGCGATCTTGAAGGATTCTCCAGAACTGGCCTTCATTGACGCGTGGGATATGACCATAGCTCAGAATTATAAAGAAAGTGTTCATCCTCATCACAAAGTTCTTTCAAATCTGATGAATAATTTTCTTTCCTATATTTGTCCTGATGCGCCGAGTCCTCCATAAAGCCATATTTAATACTTGCTTAACTTGGTTTGATTTTGAATTAAGAATAATAGTTGGTTATTATATAGGAATTTGTTCCTGCCAGGTAACCATTAACCTCACCTGGGTGGAAAGTGGCAAATTTAGATTAATAACTTGGCAAAGGACATTGGTGCCGCGGTGAACCCGGACGCTATCCACTGTCCGGTGACGTATCGAATAAACCACTTTATGTGAAAATAGGCCACTAGGCCTATATGAAAATAATTGGAACAGCTGTGTTGAGTGGATTCATCACCTTTGTATATTGAAGATTACTTCTCTCCATGAATTGTGTTTTATGAATTTTTTGTTAATGATTTTTTGTTTTGTTTTGTTTTGTGGTATATGATACTCTGAGTATCATCTGGCGTTTGTATATTTTACCGTTTTTAGTATTGTATTTCATTTGGCTCGTAGTCATGTTTTGATAAATGTGCGATTGAAAGGAGCTGCCCGTGAAAGGAGATGGGGTTTCATTGACAACGATAACATAGGTGACAAACACCTTGGCAGAGATCCACATCAATGGCAGGACAAGGTGTTCTTGCCTCGAATCTACACCACTTCATTGAGCGACCTCAAGGGCCACCTACACCTACTCAGCAAAGGTCCTACGCTGAAGTTGTTGAATCTTCAACGCAGGATTTCGAAATGATTGCGCCGAGAGGGAGGCTCAAATCTGCACCTGCTCTTCCAATGCTTCCACTGACAAAAGCTCAACAGGGATGGCACGAGCATCTACGTCTCGTCATGGCAACATGCAGTTAAACTCTGTCTCTATAGTACTGGCATACTGCATCATAATCTTCAGGAACAATCTCATGAACTGAATAAGAGTAAAATTAAACAGTTAGAAGGTGGTTCAGTTCCTCTGTTTAGAAACAGAGGCCTAAAATTGGCTCATTTAAACATTCATAGCTTAGCTGCTAAGATTGACGAACTTAGATTACTTCTGAGAAATGCATAATTTGAGGTTATTGGTTAAAATGGACATTTTGCGACTCCGTGATTGATGATTCTGAATCAGGCGCGTACGCAGGGGAGGGGGGGGGGGGGTTGTTGGGGGTTGACCCCCCCCCCCCTTTGGTATTTTATATGTGTGTATTTTTGAGGAACCCCCCCCCCCCTTTGGTAATTTAAAAAAAAAAATTCTTCCCCCCCCCCCCCCTGCTTATTCAGCGGCTGGCTGAGTCGTTGCGAAATTTTCGGCCCGATTTAAAAATATTAGAATTGGAATTGGAAAAAATCCTGCGTACGCGCCTGTTCTGAATTGTATATAGATGATTATATTTTATTACGTAGAGACCGTACG